GGGGGGCTTACGTATCTGATTGACGACTAGCCTTAATCGAAAGTTCTCTCTCGTGAGCGAGAGGGGTAATTAACTATAGGGGCTTGCGCCTATAGGAAACCAGAACTCAGATCATAAAGTCCTCACAAAATGAGGGCGAAATCTCTGGGTAGTGTCTTATCTACAAACCCATCTGCCTTCCAAAATTTACCTCGGAACTTATTCAGTTAAAACTCCCTCGCCGAATAAAAGGAAAAGCGAGAGGAGGCCGGGGCCGAATTTTCGGAGCCCACAGCTTATAGTAATAACTATCAATCCAAAATCAAAATAGCTCCTTATGAAGTGTTGTCTGGCAAGAGATGCAGAAATCCTCTGAGCCAGGTCGAAGTTGGAGAAAGACAGTTATTGGATCCACAATTGATCGATCAAGCCACCAAAAAAATATGATTGATCAATAATAAATTGATGGAAGCATAGGACCATCAGCAAAAACACTATAACCCTAAACATAGAAGTGTTGAGTTCAAAGTTGGAGATTTTTGTGTTTTTGAAGGTAGTACTTATGAAAGGCATCTTGTGATTTGGCCAAAGGGGAAAGCTGAGTCTGAGATAGTTTGGGCCCTTTGAAATTATTCAAAGAGTTGGAAAGGTTGCTTATCGTTTGGTTTTACTTGCATATATATATATATACACAATGTATTTCATATATCTATACTCAGTAAATGAGTGACAGATGAACATCAGAGGATTCCAATAAAAAGATATTGTGCAGAGTGATCTAACTTATCCAGAGTAGCCTGAGAAGATTTTGGAATTTGATGTTTGTGAATTAAGGAGCAGAATAATTCCATATGTAAAAGTAAAATGGAAGCATAGATCATTGAAGGAAGCTATCTAGTAGGAGTCTCAATCGTTCCTTCAAGTGCTGAGATTTGCATGCTATTTGAGAGTTGGCTGAATGGCTGGGAAGGGAATTCGGCTGGTTGAAAAGAGCTATAGCGAAATTTGGGTAAAGAAGATGAAGAAAAGAAGAAGAAATATACGGGAGAGTATGAAGAAGAAGGGGGAGAAATCAGTAAAGAAAAAGTTAAAGCATGTTTGTTGGTGCTGATGGGTAAATTTTGTAAAATTGATAATCCAGTTTAGTTTAACATTAGTTGGGTTTCAGGTCATGCATGCTAAAAGAAAATTGACTGGTAAGTCAGTTGGGTTTCGGGTCATGTATACTAAAATAAAATTGAATGGTAAGTCAGTTGGGAAGATCCAATCAATTGGTTTGTTTTGGGTTGTAGGAAATGGTGAACTTGCCTATTAATAAATTCGGGTTGGTGTAGGTGCCGTACACGCACAGGAGAATGCGAGGTGTCCGACTTGTCAGTCAGCATGTGTAGGAAGTAAGATATGAATTTGTATACAGTATATAAAGCTGATTGTATATGCATTTAAATTAGTTGTAGGGACGTTGCCTTTGTACTCCTACATATTTGTGAATAGCTTAAAATTTTGATTCATAAAGCCATTCTACGTGTAATTCTCTGTAATATGTGATTATATTATACTATGATGCCACACACAGTTCTGTTTTATTATGATATTTATTTGTCTCTCATTAGTTCTTTCGGACTTGATTATTTTACTAGAGTTGCATATTTTTATAGGCGTCATAGCTGACCAAATTATTATTCCGGTTATTCTCACAGGAAAAGGGAAGTAAGAGGTTATGCTAAAGTTCAGTTTTGATTTTGTGTTTACTTTTGTCAATATAAGGAATATTTTGTTTAAGGTTAGTAGTCTGTTAATGGTTACATGTTTTAGTTTTCCTGTAATTGCTCTATAGATGAAAAATTAAGAAATAAAATTTTGGACAGCTTCTGCTTATCATTCATATTTAAGTTATGATGTCTTTTAAAAATTTTCTTCATTTGGATCACATGAATTGTATTGAAATGTAATGTAGTATAATTTAAGAACACCGAAGAATCAGGTCTCTAATCATATGTGAGTTGTTCAAAAAAAATTTATGCCATATTTAACTATTTTCTACGTTTCAAGAAACCTATATTCTAAGAGGTTGTCTAACCCATCTTGAATGAAAGACCCTATCAGGCTCTCCGGCTTTTCCTCTTTTAGGGTAATTTCATTAAACTTCTTGAATAATTGATCAACCAAATCTTTCTCTTGTGCAATTTTGGTTTGCTGAAATTCAAGTCACTCCCATATTTTCAAGAAACAGAAATAGATAAAGGAAGACCTCTTTCGAAGAAATTGAAGTTCTCATGATAAAGAAAACTCCTATATCGCTATGCTGGAGTGTATTCCCAACCCATCCATTGGAGTAAAATTCACAGACAATTTCTTAATTCTTGTTGTAGAGTAATATGTATATTTAATTACATGACATTATGAGCTGCACTGTAGAAGCTGAATTGTGATTCGGAAATTTAACGAGAGACTTCTCATATTTTAAAATATTTGCAGGGCATGCACATGTCGCTGAAGCTCTCGGTGTGCCTCTTCATATCTTCTTCACAATGCCTTGGACGTAAGATGTGACATAATTGAGTTTTTCCCATGCTTCTTAATATCTTTCCACATTGAGTCTAAAACTTGTATTGGATTTTTTTTCTAACTGAGTCATAGCAGCTGAAAATGCCAAAAATAAGATATGATTTCATTTAACTGCCAACTGTTATAGTAGTCTTAGAGAAAACAATATTCGTTTTGGCAATAAAGTGCGTGAATGTAAGGTACTCATCCAATGAATATGGGCCAAGTCAACAACCTCTTTGCAATAAAGGTATGAACTGCGTAATTCCGTCCATCTTCCAGTTCAGGAGTTATTTGATTACGTGTCCTCCTGGGATTATTTTCTCTGTTTTGAAAATATATTAGTATTTTTTATTTGTGACTGATTTAGGGTTCATATACCAGTTTTATTAACAATAACTTGTAATTTTTTGTCTAGAAAAGAATCAAAATGGTCTCTTGACTCATTATGAAAGATAAAAATAGACTTCAACTGTATTAAAATTTAATAGATGGTTGTGAGACCTGCAATGCTTTATGGTGCAGAATGTTGGCCATTAAAAGAGAAGCATAATATTAAGTTAAGTGTTGTAGAAATGAGGATGCTCAGGTGAATGAGTGGCTTTACTCTTAGAGACATGATACGAAATGAGCATATATGTGAAAAGGTTAGAGTAGCTCCAATGGAAGATAAGATTAAAGAGAGTCACCTTAGATGGTTTGGTCACATAAAACGGCGACCTTCCGGTGATGTTGTTAGGAATGTAGATGCATTAGATTTAACTTATGTTAAGAAAGTTCGAGGTAGACCTAAAAAGACTTGGTTAGAAAATATTAGAAATGACCTTTCTTTATTAGATTTAGATGAGAATTTGATTCTTAATAGGACACAATGGTGAAAAATGATTCATGTAGTCGACCCCACATAGTAGGATAAAGACTTGTTGTTGTTGTTGTTTTTGCAAGAGGCATAATGTTAGATGTAAAGAGTGAAGCACAATTCTAATAGTTAGCAACAATAATATCACATAAGAAGTTAACACAAGGCAATCCCTACGTTAAGCATAAAATATAGTTAGGTAAAGTAACACAATTAAATTATAAAGCTTTGAGTACAAAAAAATTTTTAAACGTGGTTTGACACCAGCTGCTTACGTTTGTCTTGGTCACTTATTTTGGTAATTCCACCTTTTTCTTTTGTCACCATAGCTGTAGAAGCTTTTGCACGATATATAATTTCTTACACAATTGACGTGTAGAACCTTCCATCTTTTCCTTAAATGATGGGGTAACCCACTTTTTGGTTCCTAGCAAGGGAAACACTACGAACTCTACCTAGTTTTTGGAGAGTATAAAGGTAAGTGGATACAAGACAACAAAATTGATCCCTTTTTAGAAGATTATTAGAAACAAATAAAAAGAGTAAGGTGATTGAGAAGTGAAAACTTGGATCACAAATGGCTTAAAAGGAAACACTATTTGAACACAAACTTTTCAAAATGATGAAAAACTTGAGCTTTAATTTTCTCCCATTCCATACCATTCTAACAACCCAAAATTGATCTTATTTATAAGCAAAATGGGTGCCAATTTGAGGATGAAATCCCCCTTGGTTTGCAAAATCCATTATAAGAAGTTTGCTCTAATTGCAATTTGAATGTTGTGACGATGATGCCCAGTATAATGATGATGGGTTGGATTCTGACAGGAAAGGGAAGCAACCAAGGCTTTGCTAATTTAATGTTATCAAGTTTTTTAAAGATCCTAAGCATATCATATAATATTTTTAAACTTATCTCCAGGTTTTAAGTGTCTCAAGCCTTTTAAGTGTCCTTCATCTTCGTGTTTCACCTTAAAATTAGTGAACTTGTTGAACACTTGATAAATTAATAGATGATATTAATAAGAGTTTGCTATCATTAATAATTGATGAGCAATTTTAGTCATATGATAATAAGATTGTGCATATGGGGACAAATATTTTTCCTCCATTTGATGTTATAAATTAATGTTGTTGAAGGGTGGAAAAAAAAATCATCCCTCACTACATTCCTGTTTGAAGTCATGTAATTGAACCCAATGAACATACATCTACCAAAATCAACTATGATATGTACCACCAAAAGCAATTCTATCCTTTTGACATCATCAAAAAGAGTTACCATAAATGCAAGTAGTAGATCATATCAAAAGTAAATGACCCCGTATGCATTTATTTGCATGAAATGTGTCTAATAATAAAATATCTATAAAGCTGTGATCATAACAACTATCAAATTGATATGATACTAGAAATAGCATATGTTCAATTAATTCTTTTATAAAATTGCCAATCTTAATTAATACATAAATAAATGGTGTCAAAAATTAATTTGCATAAGAGATATTCATAATCTATTAATCATGTATATTCTAACATATATTTTGATGCAATTTTGATTTAAATTCTAGCGAGTCAAACATTCTTTAATCAAAAGATAGTATCCAATTAAAATTCATATAGCTAATGATCAATCATAACATGTCTCTAAATATCTTGATTATGATCCAATATTGTGCTTCTTTCATTAGCTTGGTAGGGAGGGCTCATAGGACAAAACTAAGTTGCTTAGCTATGTGTTCTCTATTAGTAAGTCACTTGGCCCCACAATGCTTTACCTTGTTCTCGAGTTATGAACTAAGGATGAATATATATAAAAGTAATCATAAAAAAACTATGAATCTAGTGTATAATCAAGTTTTCTATGAAATTTGAAATTTCGTAGCTTGAAACTAATTTTCAATATATTGCATGTTCATGCTAAAAAGCATGAATCAAAAGAAAGAATCAAATTTTTACTTTATATCGTTCCCTTCAAAAGTTTACTTTGGGTACACCTTGAGTTGCCTACAATCGAGAACTTATACATTGTAAACCACATTGATCATGACTTTATGGATCTGATATGCCAAGGGGGGCCACTTTGTCGGCCCAGCCCAGACTAGCCCAGCCAGATCGGCTTAGGCCGAACTAAACCTTTGGCTGGGTGAAACCAGGGGTAGCAGAGGGAGAGATTTCGGCCCCCCTTGTGGGGCCTAGGGGAGCTATAATTTATTATGTAAGGAGGATGAATCAAGAGGAGCTGTTTAGGAAGGTTTTAATTATTTAGGAAGGTTTTTTTTAATTGTAGTTATGTTGTTTAGGAAGATTTTATTGTTTAGGAAGTTTTTCTAATTGTGTTTATATTGTTTATGAATGTTTCAATTTTGTTTAATGTGTGTGAGGGCTATTTAAGGGGGAGTAGTATTGGGTTATCATGAGATATGTGTTGACTTTTATTTTCACAATCATGCCTGATTTAGCCTGGATCGAGCTTATTCAAGCCCAATTGGGCTCGATTGTGCTCGATCGACTCTATGTCAAAGCAAACATGTCCCAAATCGAGCCCTAATATGATTAAATTATGCTCAAATTCATCAAATTAAAATCAAATCGACCAAAATCGACTCAAATCAGTCCAAATCGAACCCAATCGAGCCTCGTCGAGGCTCATCAAACCAAATTCGATTCAAATTGTTGCCGATTCGAATCCAATTTTGCAAAATTGGCTCAATTGGATCCAATCGGACCCTAATCAACTCAAATCGGTTTGAGCCAAGTCCATATTTCAGCCTCAATTGATCAAATCTTGGTTCATTTGACTTTTCAAATCAAGAAAATCCATCGAACGGTCCAAATTGAATTGGTCATTGCTACATTGTCCTTTCCCATCGAATCGCGTCTAATTTCAGCGGCTATAGCAGATTGCTTTGGCAGAAAATCCAATCGAGTAGATTTACCTCGTTTCTTACGTTATGAGAGAAGAAATGGTTGGAGAGGAGGCATTCGGTGGGTCTGGCATTTTGGAAGTCTCGAACATAGTTAGAGTGAGAGGTGTGGCATTTGCATGTGGGTGAGAAATGCAGAGCGAAAACCTCCAGTGTGCTCACTTCAGTCCGTTCGAGCCAATAGAGGGGAAACCGAGTCTGCGACTTGGTCTCGGTTCGTTCGATCTGGGTCGACAGGCGGAGCAAAGTAGGGGGCGAGTCCCCTTCTTGCGTGCATGTGGCCCATAGTCGACGGGACGAGCGGGATAGGGGCGAGTCCTGTGTGCACTCAATAGAGGGGGGACCTCTTATAATATGCATGGAGGACAAGCGGTTGATTCTTCCTGTGCGTGTATTTGGAGTCGGATTGTGGGAAAGAATAGTAAGGAAGACTTCTCCACCACCTACTTTGCTGTTTATTTTGCTGTTTGAAAACTTCTGAAAGCCACTTTGACCATCGTAAGCTTGCAAGTTTTGAACAGTGCTTGGAGCAGTGTAGACATCAAACTTTACCTTCCTCGTCTCTGCATTCTCACCTTTTTCAAGGAGAGTGGAGTGTAGTTGGTGTCGTGACAACCCATGGAGGTAAAATCTCTCAAACTTAGGAAAATTGTAGGTCTCTAAGCCTTATAGATGTGGTTGATGCTCCCCGTGCCTTAGGTCCTTAGAAACCCATGCACTATGTTTTCCAAAATGCCAAAATAAACCCATGTTTGTTGTCCTCTCCGCAAAATAGTGGAAATCTGTCAATTTGCACTTGTTTTCTCTCATGTGAGAGCCCGAGGAGGATATCGACGTGCGTAGGGGTGTTGGATAGGCATCTGACACCTCCCAAATGTATGTTTTAGGATTCATTTTGCTTACCTAGCCGTCGCCTATAATTGAACAATAGGCTAGCATTGTCATTTTTCTTTAAACTAAATGCCAATGTGCATGTTTTAAAAGTGGGAGCTTGCATACTATTAGGAATGCGCATAAAAGGAATTTTTGTGATTTTTGACAAATGTTTAGAGAGGAATTCAATTAATTTGGGGAACTTGTGTCTCATCATGGACCTTGCATAGACCCTCAAAGGCCTACACCATAGGACCCGTGACAAAGTAATTAATTAAATTCATCTATGACGTTTATTATACCTCAAAATTATTTAAGCTTCTTATGATACTTCAA